TTCTGGCTACTTGGAAGGCTGAGGCGGAAGGATTCGCCGGAGCCCAGCAGGTCGAGGCTGCGGTGGCTGGGAGCGGCCACTGCACTCCAGTCTGGGTGACACAGTGAGACTCCAACTCAAAAAAAAAAAAAAAGACAGCCTGGAGATAAATGTGTTTTACACTATAAATCCACCAGTATACCAGAAAAATACTGTGGTAGAAAAATGCAAATTTAATGTTTCCTTTAAATACCAAGCTTTTTCCAAAATTTCAAAGCAAAATTCTATTTATCAAAATTTGTTAAGCATGTTAGCAGGTCATATATGTACAAATACATTTTTAGGTGAAGGAATTTGGGGAATTCTCCATTGTATCCCTTGCCCAGAACCAGATCTATCTCAGTATCATTAAGTCAAAACTCTACCATCTGTGTCTTCCATCAAAGAATCCCAAGTTCTTTCTCGCCACCACACTTATTTTGCATATTTGGGCTCACTTAGTTAAAAATCTCTCTATTCTCTTGATCTACTTACAATCCAGAATAAAGTGGCCATGACAACTAGTTAACATAAGGACATATGGACATGCAAAAATAGTCAGTTATTTTGAGCCTGGGTTATTAGAAAAAGGGAGCTATGATAGCCAGAAAAGGAAAGGAGACTTCATCTGGTTGGGGGAGACAGAGCACAGGTTTAGAGATCTGAAGGTTGAGATGATACAAAAATGCTGTGTCTGGGTATGAACAGCCATCATTTAGAATCACCAGGAGAGATAGCAGTTGAAAATATAACTGCCTGAGCATGGTAGCTTATGCCTGCAATCCCAGTATTTTGGAAGACTGAGGCAGAGGCTCTCTTGAGCCCAGGAGTTTGAGACCAGCCTGGGCAACATAGTGAGATTTCATTTCTACAAGAAAAAAAATCAAAAAATTAGCCGGGTGTGGTGACACTCACCTGTAGTCTCAACTACTTGGAAGGTTAAGATGGAAGGATCACCTGAGCCCAGGACAAGGCTGTGGTGAGCCATGATCAGGCCACTGTACTCCTGCCTAGGCAGCATAGTGAGACTCTGCCTCAAAGAGAGAGAGAGAGAGAGAGACAGAGAGACAGAGGGAGGGAGGGAGGGAGAAAAAAAACATGGCAACTCGATTTCCTAAAGAAAAAAAAAGGAGAGAAAGAGTAACATCAAAGACACCCACTTATACTTACTCCCTGAAAGCATTTCTGTTTTGCATATTGTATTTATTTCCTAATTTTCTTCCAGTGGATAGTCTCATCTTCCTAATAAGACTGTAGTATCAAGAATCAAGTCATCTCACATAACTTATCTGTGGTTACTGGGGTCATAGAAGACACTTAACAAAATAATTTTGGCTGCTTCTAATAACCATCCAGAAATACGTATGAAATGCTTCATGTCAGTAGGACTTAGCAATTAACACCTTCCCTAGACAATGGAGACCACCTTCATGACGCTCCTAGGTATCCTGGAGTATCATGTATAATATCTCTTTGAGGTCAACAACAAAGGATGTCTTCATATCAAATCCATGCACTATCAAAAACCCACCAAGTAACCAGGCACAGTGGCGCATGCCTATAATTTGAGCACTTTGGGCGACCGAGGCAGGAGGATTGCTTGAACCCACAAGTTTGAGACCAGCTTGGACAAAAGAGTGAGACCTTATCTCTACAAAAAATCAAAAAATTAGCTAAGTGTGGTGGTACATGCTTGTAGTCCCAGGTAATCAGGAGGCTAAGTCAGAAGGATCACCTGAGTCCAAGAAGTAGTGCCAGGATCCCCCCACTGCACTCCAGCCTGGGCAACAGAGTGAGACCTCAACTCAAAAAAAAAAAAAAGTAGTAAAAATACAAAGTAAAAGCCCACCAAGTGCAAGGCACTGTGCTAAGATGTTCATCTTGGGAGACACACAAGGTCCCCACTCTTCTGGATCTTACAGCATTTCAATCTTCTTATGCAAAGTCAAAGGTAAGTTAGTGCTCTGTGTCATATTGGGGCACTCCAAAGTATTTGCAAATATAAACACTTGTGATTTTATAATTTTCTTTCAACTTTGGCAAATCATCATCTAAACTACTTGGTTTGAGGATAATTGGTACTTCTTTCACATCTGTAGAAAAAACTGAATATTCTTTTTTTTTTTTTTAATTGGAGTCTCACTCCTTCACCCAGGCTGGAGTGCAGTGGCACACACGCTCATGGCCACTCCAGCATCGACCTTCTGAGCTCCAGCCATCCTTCCGCCCCAGCCTTCCAAGTAGCTGGAACTACAGATGTGAGCTACCACACCCGGCTATTTTTATTTTATCTTAGAGATGAAGTCTCACCAAGTTGCCCGGACTGGTCTCAAACCTGTGGGCTCAGGCAAATTACTCGCCTCAGACTTCCAAAGTACTGGGATTACAGGCTGAGTCACTGAGCCTAGCCTGAATATTCTTAAAGTTCTTTATCATCAGCTTTTTGCATACACTGAAGGTATTAGTAAAAAGCTCACTAAATTGTTTATGTCAGAAGAGCCCTAAGCTCTAGTCCTCTTGGCCTTCCATAAATCCTGACCACTTAGTTCCTCTTTTTGAACTTAACCCAAGTCATTTCCCATGCCTGGAGCTCCTCCCCACCCAAATTACCCATACTCTTCCTTCTCCTTCATGTTGGCATTTCCAACTTCATCTAGTCTACAGTCCCCCTTCTCTGAATTCTGGTGATTATATACATAAACTCCAACCAAAACCAATTATATATATATAAAATATCCAACACATATAAATAGATATATATAAACATATATAGATATATGCATATGTATATAAAATATATATACATATATCTCCAATAACTTAACATTTAGGTTTATGTTTTCTTATGTTATTCAATAAATATTTCATGTGAGTTCTTTTTAAAATTTCTTCTCTACTAGAGATACCAGTAAGCTCTTTGAGAGAACTCTCCATCTGTGATATTTATACATGAGTGCATGTGTCTGTGTTTTCATTAGAACTAATCTATGCAATTTAGAAGGTAGACATATTTGCAAGTGACTGAAATACCTCTTGGCATTTTTAGACTTCCACATATAATACCTTATATACTTGGCCACTGATAAAAGCTTCTAGATCATAATATTGCATACCAGACCAACATAATGTCGTTGTATTCGTGACATGACCATGTAAGAAAGGCCCTATTCAGATGAAAAATGAAGGGACAGGAGAGGTAAAGCTTTTAGTGTATTGATATAACTGTTACTAATATTGTATTACTGCACTGTCTTTTATAATTTAGGGCAATATCACTAACAAAGATTAGGGAAAAGATCAGTGGGTTATGAGTTATTAATTGAAGAAATAAAAAGAAGTTTAATACCAAAGACATCAAAGCTAATAATATCTTGTCCTTCATGAACTAACCCATAACAATTAAGCCTGAGTCTTATTTACCTACCACAGATGATAAGTACATTTAGAGTGACAGTTTCTCCCTGGGCTGTCAAGGGACCCTCAGGCAATAAAACCAAGCACACCAGACTCATGAGGATTGCTCTTTAGCAAATTAAGTGGAACCCACCACCCAACCACATCAGGATTCGAAGTTTCAAACAGGACAAGGTATACAGAGTTTGGAAAATAGTAATAAAAATGACCAGAAATAAATAGGCCCAAAGAGATAAAAAACAGTGTAGCCTGAAACAGTTTCCACTAAAGGATAGCATGGAGGGGAGACAGAGCAATGCAGGACAAAGACAAGTCATGAAGGAAACTTATCTCAAAAACAAGCCATAAGGTACAGGTCTGTGTTGGCAAAGGAGAGGTGGAGTCACTCAAAGCAACACTGACATCTCTAATTTGCATGATGAATGGAATCCCAGAATCTCTAAAAGCACCTCTCTCTCTCTCCCTCCC